AGCAGTGAGCCTCGGACAGTGCTCGGCTCCAGCGCTTTATTTTAAGATGATCGGCCAAGGTCTTTGCAGATAGATTTTATCTGAAGTTAAATAGCAGGCGTTCGCCGCTTACTCGCCAATAAGTCATTTTTAATAGAGACAAATCGCTCTGGACGCCCCGGAGCGCCGGTGCCGCCGTTCCTGCCCGCGCCCCCCGCCGAAGGCGAGCGGGCAGCCAGGGCAGCTCCCTCCTCCCGTAAGTGTCCTGCTCGGCGGATCCAGAGGGCGGCCGTGTGCGGAGAAGGGGAGGCAAGGGGGGGAGAGCCTGCCAGCCGCCCCGTCGCCCTGACAGTGCCTGCGCTGGATGCACAGCGGCCGCGGGACACCTCGGCGAGGAGATGCGCAGGGGTGGTGGGCTGCGCCGCGGCACTCAGCCTCTCTAGGCTCGCCCATGGAGCGTCCCGCGGAACCCCGTCCGCCGTCGGATCCCCCACGCCGTACGTATCCCCACCGCGCCCCCCCCGCGGCGGCGGGGCTGTCCGCGGGCCGCGGGGGCGGAGAAGGGCTGGGGCCGGGGATGGGGGTCCTCGCCCGTCGGGGCGCCCCGGGGCGCGGTCCCGGCCCGGGGCAAGGCACGGCGCGCCTTTCGGAGCGGCAGAGGGAGGTGGGCGCTTGTAAAGGTAAGCAGAACCTGCTCGGGCGTCCCGAAGGCAAAGCTCTCTGCCTCGGCTTTAAGCGCCCAGAAGCATCCGGAGCCGCGATCTCAGCGTCTGCTGTCGCCTTCTCCCGCCTCCGGCGCCGTTCCGCTCCCTAGCTCGCTGCCGGGGCTCCGCAGCCAAGCGGCGGGCGGCTGCCGCCCGGTCCCCGCTGAGGACACACAACAGGCAGGGCTGGCAGTGGCACCCCTGGGCCGTCCCAGCCCACAGCACGGGGCTCTCCTGCCCAGAGAAAGGACTGAGCGCCGGGTAGCGCTGCCTATAGGCGGTCTGCCGCCACCTCGGACCGTGCGATCACTTTGCTTTGACGCTGGATTAACTCAATTTTAATCGTTTTTTGTTTCCCCCACCCCCATTCACTCACCCCATCTCCTCCTTCTCTCCCGCCGTCCCCTTCCCCCCCCCCCCCCCCCCCTCCCCACCCCCTCTCTCCCCCCCTC